GGTCCTCTGAACTCTCCAACATATTTTTACCCTATCTTCTGATGGAGTATGGGAATCCTTGCCATTTACCACTTCCTAGCCACCGGAGTGGTGGACCATCGAGGTCTGTCCTTTTGTGTGTGAACATTGCCATTCAGTGGAGAGTAGAGTGGTGGCATTATGTTGGTGTTAATGGCATGACACCCTTCCCACCGTGGACCTGATGTATAATTCCAGATGCCACTAGGTGTTCATTGTAACACTCCACCATTTCTATACATATCTGTTGCAGTTCTTTCCTCCAACTGAAACATTCTTTCTTCCTTCCATCTTCCGGATGTCTGTTCCAGGTGGATCAGGTGTTTGTTGGAGATAGTCCAGCCACATAAGTCATCACATGTGTTTGGCTGGTACCTTCTTCCTATCGCAGACTGAATGATAAATTCCCAGTGCTCAAGTTGAGGTCCATATTCTTAACATCCACTAAATTTCAATTTCTAGTGGATCTAGTGTCATTTGGAAGCTGGATGGGACACATGAATTCTCGCATGTATAAAGATGAGTTCCCTACTCCTACCCTGGACTGAACAACACAGTCCTAATGCCAACAAGTTTTGAACCAGAGATGAATGCCTCTTCAGCTCTCCTTACTTCTTACCATCAGCTGGATGTTGGGTTCTGATGGATCAGGTGTTGGTTGTGTTGGAAATGCACACATGCAGAGATGAGTTATTAGTGTCGAAGCTCCAAATTCCTTAGCAGTTCCAGTTTATAAGGTGAAAGGTAGAGAACCTTCTTCCTACCATGGACCTGATTTACACTTCCAGATGCTGACAGGTGTTGGTTGAGGTTGAACTTCCATTTATGGTCTGACACTAGCCACTCAACACCTGGGGGTCCTTTCTCTGATGAAAATATTTGGGTGCTTCTCCATGTTCCACCCTTTATGTTTTGGCAACACATTCCTGAAGGGAAAAGAGTATACCTGGTGCAGAAGTGGCATGTCCTCCCACTAGTGTGATGTTTTTAATTCCTTACCACATCTCATGGTGTTTCTTTGGGCACTTTCTAAAGGAGGATCATACTCTCTCTCTGGCCCTCCACCAGTTCAGTATGGGAGTCTAGCTTTTTGTGAGAGGAGATGAGATATTGTATTTGAAGTTAACATTTTCCTAAACTGAAAATGTATTTCCAATAGATACTTACCTCCTTTCACTTTGATAGGTTGGGTTTATCAATTGGTTCGTATTGCTTACTCTCAGCTTTCCTTGGAGTAGTGGAGACTTCTTCAAGTTTCATCAAGTTTGCCATATCTTGATGTCCATGATGGCTCAGATGCATCACCCACTGGAGGAGATTGTACAGGCTGGTAAGTGAATCACGCCTAATACACTTATATCTCATTATTTACATGATTTGGTGGTTGCCTCCTTGTAAGGTTTTCAGTTACCCCTTATGGCTCTTCTCCACAACCAGGCTTGATTGTAAGAGAAGTGAGTGACTTCATTTCTTTTATGTTTATTTCTATTCTTTTTCAGGGACCCTCTTATCATTTACATTTTGGATCCCAGTCAGTGGCAGGTGTTGCCTGGTCAGGTATGCCTATCTGCAAATCCACACTAGCTACCATTTGGACAATAAAATAAATTTTCCTGCAAGCAATGAGATAAGAGTGTTCCATAAGACAATCTTGTAGCTTTCTGGATAGTAAACAATTATAAACACTACTGGATCGCCTCTCATAGACTATCATGAGTTAAGCATAAGGGAATTTTGACCATCCCTGTTGACCCTTGGATTGAAAAATTGGGGTCTGTTTGCTTTTCAAAAGAGGGAATGTGGTTTGCCTATTGCACTGTCTCTGGATTATCCTTTCTCAGGAGTCCCCAATGCGAGTATCTCCCCCACTCTCAATTTCTCCTAGTGGAGCATGGGACTCCATACCACTCCCAGTTTCCAGTCACAGGACTGGTGGACAGAGGTTTATTCCTTGTAAGTGATGCTTGAACTCATTATTCCACTCAAGGAGAAGAGGGCGAAGCTGGGTGCTTTCCTAGCAATAACCCTGGATGATTTTCAGAGATGTATGGTGGGAGCAGGACCAGCCTATATGGGAGCCTCCTCATAACTCTGGTTCAGAGATGACACTATGCTATTCGGCTCAGTTGAGTATTGCCCTTCATTTTGGTCATTATCTTCATTTTGATGATCGTGGAAAAGGGTCCTCCACTCCTCGTGATTCTGCACGTGGAGCCTCATTTTCTATGCCATTGGTTTGACTTAGTTTATTGCACATCCTCCTCGTAATTATGGGAGCAAGAGGTGTTGCCGTGCCTCTCAGATTGGGAAGTTAGGATTTCTGTTCATAATCCCAGGCTGGGTAATTTCTGTTTCTTCAAGTTGAGCAAGACATGAAGACCCTGTAATTTTGAGTTTGGTTTGTTGCATATTGCACTTCCTCAGTTTGGGGTTTGTCCACTTTTGTGTTGCTTGCCTTCTCTTCATAATTATGATGGCTTGATATGCAACACTCTTTAACTTTTAGGTTGGGTTCCAATAAGAAAACAAAACTAATGAAATACCACATTGTGGTTCTCATGCCCTAACCACTACTCTTTGAGTCTACAGCTCTATAATTCCAATGATGAGACATGAAATCTCATCTGCCTGGTTGGAGCCTAGACAAATCCTGTGAATTAGGTACAATATTTTTACCAAGTGTGGGGGGATCTGTACATCATCTGGCCAACTGACTGTAACTGGATGCATCTGGTATTGCAGGAGTGGGCCAGTTCTGGTATAGTTGTCTCTAATTTCTTGTTTTATTCTCACGATGTTAGTTTTTTTTGTTAGTTTTCACGTTGTACTGTTCCATAAGTAGTGCAGACCCCACTAGTGTGCTATTATCTCATTTTCACACACCTCATTTCTATATAGGTGCTTTCTGAGTGGATCTTGCCATCACTGGCCCCTCCACCTTGTCAATGTGGGATTCTAGTTATAGTGCGAGATAAGTGTGTTTCAGAACTTAACATTTTTCTATACCGAAAATGTATTTCCAATAATACTTACCTCTTTCACACTCTTCCCCCCCATAATGGCCAGTGTTTATTCGGGTCTGCTAATTTGGACAGTCTCAAAAAAGGGAATAGGAAGTAATAACATGGAACTTGTATACAGAACTGGGATAGGGGGCACATTGACATAGGTGGAGAGAATCACAAGATTTAATTTTCCATGGGCAATATAGTGGGGAAAGAAAGGATGGAGCAAGTGAGGTAAGATTCATACCAATGCTTAGGTGGGCAGAGAATAGTAACTTTCATTGTGATAAAGCTATAGTGTAAGAGAAGATAACTATAATTGGAAATACATTTTTGGTATAGGAGAATGTTAACTTAAAAAATTCATGTTATTCGAAATATTGATTTAAAACATTTTCATATGTGTTTTAAATAGCCAGAGAGAAACCTTAAGTGACCATTCTTGATTCACTAGTGAGAGAACCAAATAACACTTAGGCTTTAAATAACAGTTGTTTTTCTTAATTAAAACAACAAAATTATAGTTAGGCTGGTGGAAACTAGTATTGCTTTGCAGTTTATACAACTTGCATTCCTTTACATAATTGACTTTAGTTTAATAAAATAGTTACAGTTAATAACTTAATTAAAATAAATGTAATCCTTCAGAATTAATGACAGTATCATTGTTTTACCAAATGCTGTCAACATGCATTATAACTATACTTTACTTTAAAGGCATTATTGTTGATATTAGAACCCACTAGACATTAAAGCTTTTAAGCTTTCTAAAACTTCTGTTAAAGTTAAATACCACATACATTTAATTAACCACCATTTTTGTGCATTTTTGGTTAACTATCTACACTGCTCCCATGCCTATAAACTTGCTGAATATCTTGTATCTGCACTAAGAATGGTTTTTACTGGTAAACACTTTTTCCTTTTCTCAAGAGATATCTAAATTTCTTAATAGAAACCAATTATTTATGGCCAGCGTTGATATTCAGTCCTTATTCATTGGCATCTTATTTGAGGAAACAATTTGATTAATTTTTAAACAGTTATTTCCAACCAAAGGTGCCCTGCATTCTAACTTTAACTGACTAAAGGAGAAGTAACAATAACATAAAGATTTAAGGACAACAAGAGGTCTGTTATCATCTAGGCTGTCCCATTCACTTAAAAAACACACACACTCAAATCCAACACAAATGCAGCTGTGAAAGAAAGGAGTGTATAATTGCAAAAATAGGTGAAACAGTATCAAAAGTGACTGAAGAACTGAGTTATGGCCATGATATTACAATGCTGATTTATTGATAGTATTGGCAGAATAGTTGGCTTCTTAATTTACTAATTTCTGTTTCTTGGTCTTTGTTGAATTCCATATTGATCATATGAATACAAAGGCTTCCTTTACTTTTCTGATCCTTAATAAAGAGAACAAACAGAATACTAGTCAGTCTGGTTGTCTATAATTTGTGGTATTGTTTAGCTATGTTGGATGCATTAGTTTTCATTAATCTGGTTTGACTTTTGTGAAAGTAATTCAGGTTTATTTCAACAAAACTAAATATACCTGAATTATTATATGAATTCTTATAAAATGCAAGTATTTTTTCAAACTTGCAAAGTAATTTGTTGACCTATACACTGTTGTCTACTGTATATAGCCTCAATTAATAGTTTTAAGTTTTCAGATAAGGTGTATGTTGTCTATTGTAGATAGCCTTGATTAATAGGTTTAAGTTTTAATTTTTCAGATAAGATATATTTAGTAGACAAAAAATAGTAACAACAGTTGAAAATGTAATTTAATTAACTATAAAATTATAATCATTAATTATAATCATAATGCAACTTGAACTTTAGAAAACAGTAACTTTACAAAAAAAGAATTCTAAAGAAAAATACATACAAAGCTTATGCATTCTATAGATTTCTTGAATCAAAGTTAGCTATTATTTGTTCAGTGTGCAAACTTTTTTTTTCCAGCTTCATCGTATATTTTAAAATACTTTTATGAACGTGAGGATGCAAAGAATAGATTCAGTGATGAGTATATTGGTGTGCTAGTAGATAACTGGCATATCGATGGAGAACCACCAAAACCAGAGATCTGTGGAACAGAACAAGAAGTTTTGCTGAACTTGGGGGAAATTAACCAAGACAAAACCCTTTATTTTGGAATTTATGCTGTAGATGAAGATAAAAACAATGGTAGTGTCTCTAATATTGTGTCTGCTTTTTTCAACTCCAGTCCACTACCATCTACTGTAAACTCTTCTCCAAGCACCACTGTGATAACTTCAATAAGTACTACTGATTGGATAAACAATGGTGAAGAAGGTCTGTCAACTGGTTCTATTGCATTAATTGTGAGTGTTATAATTGTGGTATTGATCATCATTTTTGTAATTCTTGTGGTGGTTTATATGCATAAAAGAAAGAATGAAGATGCAGTTGATAAATTTCCAAATCCAACAGTTAATCGGATAGAGAATAAACTGTCACATAACTCAGAAAAAGAGGTAATTGATAAACCTTATATACCAGTGGAATCCTTAATTAGTCCTGTAAACTCCTGGCCAGTTGATGTCTTATTAAGTTCATATAATCGCTCCAAAGAGAAGCAAGTGGGCAAAGCTCCTGTACCCGACAAGGATGTAATCGAGGCTTCATCTTTGAGTTCTTACCCTTCTAGAGTGTCTTCTCACTATGACACACCCTCAGATTTTGAAAGTAAACCATTTGGAAATATTTATCAAAAGCCAATTTCAAAACGACAAAATTCCCTATCAGAGAGCTCTTCTTTGCAGTCTTTTAGGCCTGTCCAATCAAATTATTTGACCGAAGTTTAGAGGTAAAAAAAAAAAGATACTTTTTTATTCATTTAATTCTATCTTTTCCTTAAGAGAAAACTTAAGCGCTTAACTGTAAGTATCTTTTGACCTGTTAGACTTTTTTTCTGTGAACAGGATTTCAAAAGCTTCAGAATAAGTTTTTAAATATAAGTCTAGTTTTTAAAGTATTTAAAATGTCATCATAGATGTAAGTAAACTCTGTAATTTTCAACATTTAGCTTTGACATCTTCTACTTATTAACATTTACCTTTAAAACCCATGTGTTCTACTTGCTAAAGTTAAATAATTAAATATTTTGGAAGATCATAACCTTTGCTTATTTTGATTATTATTCCTTTCAATATCAAGGATTTATTCCTTGTTTTTGTAACTGTGAAGTTAACTTGTTACTGCTAATTATGCTAATTTTATCATTACAGGATTGTGAGTGTTTATCAATACATTATTTTTGTTAGAGAATGATTTTGTAAATTAATTTTTGTCTACTATTGCATATATTCTAACAAATTTGTGGTGTGTTTGTTCTGTCAGTATTTTATTTTTACATATTTTTGTACATAGAGTATTATTCTAAGAATTTTTTATTGATATTTGAAATAACTAGAAAGCAAAATTATGAAAGAACAGTTATTAGTAGAATTGTACTTCAAAGTAACTCAAAAATATAGATGTTCTGAATGTGATTTAGGTATTCCCTAGTGGTTTGTTGTTACCTCTTTCTCCAAATGCACTGTAACACTGTTAGTGTTTCTTCCTCATAACTATTCTATAAAATACTAAGCCATAGCCCTCCAATCATTTGGCATTTTAGTTTTTAATAACTTTTGAAAAAAACATTATAACAGTAACTACACTGACTTGAGTATTTTGACCACAAACAAAGAATATGTTAATGAATTTGAGTAGATTATACCAAGGATATAAAAATATTCAATTTGTTTTGTAATAGAACTAATTGATTTCCTTTCAAAATCAAAAATTATAAGCAAGACTACAGTTTAATGTGCTTAAACACTAAAGACTCAAATTTAAGTAAACATGCTTTTCTCACACAATGCTACATGAAAGAAAAAGCTTTATGGTGAATAAAGAAACAATTGTAGTAATGTGCTTACATAAGCATTATTTACAAAGAAACCTATTCTAGATTTGGTAATTAATAAGCTAAAGAAGCAGGTCATAAATTCCATTCCCAGATTTCCTGATTTACTAACATCTCAAATGAAAGTAATATTGCTTGGCTAAGCTTCACCTACCATGTGCTCTCTTGAACAAATGTTGAATTATTAGTAGAGAGATATCAAGAATAATTTGTATAATCAAATTTGATTTTTCAGAATTTTTCTAAAGAGTATGTTATCAAATACTTTTATAGCCTTATGATATCATAACTGTGTACTAAAAGTATATTCATTATGCCAAGTGAATTATGATAAAATTGTAATAAAATGTTTTTGGAGTAAGACAATGCTTTTATGTACAAAGCTTTCTAAAACTTTCAGCATACTAAATGATGATTATGTTTACCTATTTAAATATGATTGCTTATTTTACATTCCTACTCTCATTAAAGCAAACCTGAGCTTATTTTACTACAGAATAATGAAATGATAGATATTAAAATATAAAATTGGAGAATGGTACATGTAAATGGTTTTGTGAGGAGTCAAGTAAAAAATATAAAACTGGTGATTATACATATGTAAGCTTAGATACAAGTTTGCTGGTTCACCAGAAGCACTGCTCTACCTGTAAAAACTATAGAGGTATTAAAACAGTCTGTTCAACAATGACACATGGAGTTACTTAGGTCAAAATTTTTAGAAGTGTTGACTGTTTCATCCTGGCAATACTTATAAATCATCCTAATACCATTACCCATTTGGAATTGTTTTTTAATTTTATGCAACATTTACTTTAATGTATTAACTACAGACAAATGTAAACTTCTCAGAACTTTCTACTTAAACCCATTATGTAGAGTGTTTTTACACTCAGATGAAAAAGATGCATTATTTTGTTTTCTTGAGCATCTACAATATGATGGGTTATTATTTATAAAGAGTAAAAATCAAGCCCATAATAAAAGTTAATAAATACTTAATACCTGGATTAAACATCAATCTTGAAATGTACTATAAATTCTGTGTGTATATGTAACATGGTCTTTACTACATAATGAAGGACATCTGCTCGAAATGTTGTACAAATTAAATTCAAAACAGTTTTCATTTAGACATCTCAATTTATTCATTATTATCACTTATCCAAGTTATTTTTACATAGTTGGGCCACTAATTAATACTAACTAACCTCTTTTAAAGTTCATTTATACACATTAAAAACAGGACATTGTGTTGTGCTGTTTCAAACATGTAAACATTTTGAATTCTTAATAAACTACAACCAACCATCAGCAAATCAGTGAAAGAGTAGAAGAAAAGTGTAAGGAAAGAAAAGTTCAAAATGTAGAAGGCTTATGATAAAAAAAGAAACAATGGGAGTATTTGCATCAGTATTTGCAATTGTTCATTATAAAATCTCTAAAATGAATGAATAGTTATAATGAAAGAATTTTTTTCATAAAAATTAGCAGGAAAGTTTTCAACTTGAAGATTTTAACCCAGTGGAAATTCTAGCTTAATTCAGGAAAATGTCATGACTCCTTAAAAATCTTGGGTTGGAATATATCACAGACAAAATGTCTTTTACAATCCAGGATCAGAGCAGATAAATAAAAGTTTTGGACATTGTTTATATCACAAAGAGTTGTATATTTTGTTAATTTACCAGAAAAAAACTCCTTTGTTCTTTGCATATGCTGATTTTTTTTGTATGAATAAGTGAATAAAATAAAACATGATTACCTTCAAAAGTGTTTTCTATACTTTAGTTTGTGATAACTAATTTAAAATGAGGGGAAAAAATTTTTTAAATAAATATTGTATGAAACAATTTGATAAAAAGTTTCAACTATGAATAGAGGGTGTAGAAAAGTAAAAGTCTGGACATGGAACCTTCTGATATAGTATGCCTGAGTAACATTGGTAATGACAAAAAAGACAGAGTGTGTTTGAAATAATATTACAGTATACTCACTAGAAACTTGTATTGGGCCAGTAAATTATGATGATGTTATCAGTCTTATCAGGATGTTACTTTTGCTGTAAGGCTGAACTCAGACAGTGAAAGCAAAAGTGATAATTGTATTGAAGCTCACAGAAGCCCTGATTTATGTATTCAGTCTTCATATACCTAGTCCCAATACTAGTGCTGCTTATGTAGAGTGGGAGTAATTCCTAACTCAACAGTCAAAATATTAGTACAGGCTAGGTTGTGCTTAGATGAATGTGATGTATGCAAATGTGAACTATTCTTAACCCTTCCTTTAGGTGATCAGGGCTACAACAAGTGTATCTACCAAAGTCTGTAATATTGGAAATGCAGAAATAGAATCTACTCTCCTAATGTTAATACCAAAGCATTCTGGGAAGTCCTGGCAAAACTTGAACTAAAATGTAGTTCCAAGTAAACCTAGGTATTGGTCAGAATTCACCTTATAAATTGTTACCACGTGTTTGAAGAGAAGGACCCAAGTGATTTTTCAATTTATTTGCACCTTGAGTCAGTTTCAACATATAAAGAGAAGCCAGTGATATTTAGAATAGACTTAGTCACATCTCATGCACCTGAATTAAAAAGGTAAAGTTTTTTAATGGAATGAGAAGTGGAATCAAATGGAGCACACAGTAAATTTTCAGAAATGAGTAAGAGTGCTGTAGAAAAAACTAGCGATTTGAAGAGCTAGAATAATAATTTTCCAAAGCATTCAAAACCATGTATTGCATTTAGTTTATAAAAGTAATCCAGGAATCACTAAAATGACTCAAAGGCTATATATATATATATATATATATTTGTGCTAAGGTGTAGTGGTCAGAGTTAGAAAAATAATCATGAAAAATATTGCAAAACTTGGTATAGGTTTAAATAACATCTGAACTATATCCACCAGTAACTTTCTACATGATTTTTATATTCTTTCTCATCATGGAAGAGATGAAGTTAACAGTTCTTTTAATTGTGACAAGTATTTAAAGTCTTTGGATTTAACTAAAGGTTAATGTAAGTTTCACTAAAAAACAGCTTTGGAGACACAGGTACAAACATTGTAGTCACATCTCAGAAATTCATCTTAAAACAAAATGTTAAAACATGTAATGTGAAAACTTGTGCACTAAAATATAGATGGAATAACTATAACAGTGTCTTCTTATATTCTGCAAGGAACATATGAAAATCAAAGATAAAAGATGATGGCACAAGATAAATTCACTGACAGATTTCCAAAGATGGGGCTACACACTGTACTGCTTCTTAGTTATCAATTTGTGAAATTTCAAACTTTTTTTGAAAACTCTTTATCCTTTATATAGCCAGGCTGATGGATATTATAAACTAAATGCCACAAACAGTGTTACTCTTTACCTGAAGAGATATTTAGAGAGTTACATTTAACAAATGTATCATAGAATTCTCCATTTCACCAATATAATGCACTTCTATATAAATAAAATGAAGAAAATACACTAAATTCTTCACAATAATACATGTGTTTTTAAGAATAAATCCAAGTTTGTACCATGATTAGAACAATATGTACACAAATTTAAAGTTAAGCAAACAAAATTGCTAATAACGAAATCTCAAACTTTGTAAGAAAGGTAATTCACCAACAAGATTAAATTGGATTACTTATTACACAGATCCTCCTGGCTAATGCCTATAAAATTTATCAATTTCAGGGGGTAACCAAGCATGAAAATTGCCAATTACACACACGAACATAATGCCCATTTTTTGCTTCAGACCTAAAATAACTGTACCAATACTTGAACTCTTCATGCAGTAAGTGGAAGAGGCCAATTTCTTCCACACAATCTATTAATGGCCCTGGCTCCAGATTTTATCACAAAGTTAGTAAGCTTTTTGTGAATTGCGACTAGGTACAAATCAAACAGCTTTTGAACTCTGGCTAGATTTAAGGATGTGTTTCCCAATGTGTGAAATGAGCTGAAGTTATCTCCATTGCTTTCTTTATTTAAGCTAGTCCAAAGCTGTAAAATTGGCTATCTGCATTGTGCCCATTACAAAAATCTCTCCCTTGTAGTTTTCTTTGTGTATACTTCATCAGTATCTTGAAAGTTACAGGTATGTGTTACCCAGGTCAAATGGCATGATAAAAATTCATTAGAGCCATCTCCAGCACTAAAATAAGTCTTCAGTTTATTTTCATTCTCCAGTTTCACATGTCTGTAGCCAAAGACTAAGGTTAGTGTACTGAAACAAAGGGATCTTCCTCTAGTATGTCCATACATTCATCTGTTTGTGACAAAGGAAATTTATTACTGCATTTACACACCTAAAGTCCACACAGAATCATACTATTTCTTCCTCCTTTCATATTAATTTTTACTGCTGGTGATAACCAAGCAATCACTAGCACTTGTATTACTCGGGCCTTTAAAATCTACTCAATTTTGTAAGTGGCAGGTCCAAGAAAATCTATGCAGTCATTGCTTTATTGTATTTATGTGATGAAAAGTGGCTAATTTTCTACACAATCAGCAATCTACTGGGTCCCTGTTACTGTTTCAAGTCCAAATTATATTTACAATCCTTTTTCAGCAATCTCAGATGTACTGTTAGCCATGCATTAGCTCTTGGGTATAATGCAGCTGAATCGGTTGTATCCTTACATCTAGGGTCAATTATTTTTGCCTCATTTACTTTACTTGTAATCATTCTGGCTGGAAACTGAATGGCATCTTTTAATAAAGAGAAATCAGTATAGGCACAAAACTGATACTAGGAGAAATAAATGTCTGAGCAATAGCAGCTTGGTTTCAGAATAGAAAATATGTTTTGTGCTTTGGTTCCATCATCACTACAGACTAAATGGACTCTATACAACACCATGAAAGCCACGTGTACAGTCTGAGTTACTGTGAATTATTTCTCCAAATGAACCTTCTGGGCTCTGGAAGGTATCAGGGGATTTTACTGAAGGTCCTTAGCTAATATGTTTATACCCCATAACTATGGTGGCTGAAATGTTCTGCAGCATGTCCATCTCTGAAATACTAATGTTAAATCCTGCATTATAAACCATGATTTTCACTATGCAAGAGAAAGCACCAAATGACTAACCTGCTTACTTCAAGTTTATCCTCCTTAGATAGATTGTAATTAGTATTTCCTGGCTACACTAGGAGCATATGATAGAATGTGAAGTTCCACAAAGTACTGACAGAACCAGCATCCACCCAAATATCAAACTCACAAGAATTTAACTATATATATATATAGCCCTGGATGAACTGAGTTGGTCATAATATCTTTGGATGCAAACAAGCTGCTGCTTATATTCTAGTTTATGGACAAAACCAACCTAAAAACTACTAGATTAAACTAGCTGAAGCAGTAGCAACTATAATTATTGCCTGGCAGTTGGCCAGGAACAAACCTGAAATATATCCTGTTACATGAATGATAGGATAAGGATAGTATATTCTAGTGCCCAAGCAACTTACAGTTGGCTCTGTTACTTACAGAATGAGTACATGATGCAACAGAAGTCATAATGCCCCAGAGTGTACAAATGGTGTTCAATGGTATAATACATATTAAGTCTAATTAATTCATGTTGTTAGAAAAACACATAGGTTCAAGAAGTCTTGATAGAAATGAATAAAAACCCTATAACCTGAGCGCTTTGGAAAGGTTCACCATTCAAAAGTGCTCAGGTTGTAGGATTTTTATTCAACTCTAATTCATTGTCACTTTTTACTGTGGTGATACCACCAAAGAAAGCAAGTAACTTGAACTGCTATCTGTTCAAATTTTGGCATGATCTTGATGCTGATATGTAACTACATACAATTCAATTTCCTATTGAAATGATAAATGAAATAAAGATAGCTGTAACTAGCTGTATTGTTGGTGTCCTTTTGGTTTCACTGCATCTGAGGGTGAGTGCATGAATGCCAGAACATATTATATCATCGGTTGACTGTAAAAAATTTGATTTAGGAACTCATTAAGTTGTTGATTGAATATGCCAAGGTGGGACCAGATGACCATTTAAGTTAGACAACAGTAACTCACCAACGTATAGAAACAGGTGATACATGTTTAATAAAACCATTGTTGCACTGTCTTCCCGGAGCATTTGGAACATAACTAGTAGTAAATTACAAGGGATATTAAAAAGGTGGGGTAATACCATATTTGGAAAGTGCTTAGTCATCTTCAGTTATGATTGTTAGGAAAAAGGAAAATACGCCAATGTTCTGAATTGATTTCAAGAGGATAAATATAGTCATATGTGTCCCTGCATTTTTATTACAGTGGACAGACAAATGTCTGGATGTACTGGAAGGTGCCCACTGATTCATTACTTTAGACCTTACTTGAAAGTCAAACTGAGCATTGAAAGCAGATTAGCAGATCTAAGACTGTTTTAGCACTTGTGATAGCTTGTATGAATTTTGTATCATTCCATTTAAACTCTATAATGTGCCTGCCACTTTTGAGTGGCTGATAAGCTTTCAGAGGGCTATGCTAGAATATTAAATAGTCCACATATCCTAGATACTTATATAATTATAGTGTAATTCAAGCAGTATTGTTGCAAGCCAACGTAGGTTATATAATTACATACATACTGATAGCTTCTACGTGTTTTAACTGCATAACAAAGAAAGAATTGCTTACAGAAAGAGCATTTTTAAACATTACTGCCACTATATGTTAGGAAATGGCCCAAATATGACTGAAATAGCTCATGAGCTTGAAAAATCTAG